GCGCTTCCAATTCAAGTAAGTACTTATAATTAACTATAATTTTTATAATTTTTAATATTATTTATATTTTATTCATTAATGCTTTTTTATTCTAGAGAAACTATTTAATTAAAGAAAAAGAAAGTATTTGAAAAGATGCAAATACAGTTATATCCTTTATTCATAATTATTTTACTCTTTATAGAATAAGTGAAACTAATCTAATAATTCATGCAGATAATTGTACTGGGCAGAACAAAAATAATGCTATGATCATGTATTTAGCATAGCAAGTTGCATGTGGGTTGCATACTAAAATTACATATTCATTTATGGTATCTGAACACACAAAATTTAGCCCTGATGGGTTTTTTGATCTTTTTAAATTAAAATTACAAAAATCAGAAGTTGATAATCTTGATAATTTAGTAGATATAGTAAACAGTTCAACATTAGAAGATTATAATCAAACACAGACAATTTTTAATAAAGATGGAAACCATATAGTACATTTTTATAATTGGACAGAATTTTTATCAAATTATTTTAAAACAATTTCTAATATTTTAAAATACCATTATTTTATTTTTTATAGTAATAATGTAGGTAAAGTAAAAGTAAAAATAACAATTGATGGGGATGATCAAATTGTAGATATTATAAAAAAAAGAAATTAGAGGATTTTTACAAGAAATTTTTCCTGCAGGATTATTAGCTGAAAGGTAATGGTATTTATATAAGCAGGTATGTTAACACATCAGAGATCCTCAAAAGCAAAATGATTATTGTCCATTACCAACCGTTCAAAAACCAAGTAGATAAATAATTTTACTTTTTTTTTAATAAAAAAATGATTGAAAAAAATTTTTTTTCTGATTTTATATTACGTCATTGTTATTTAAAATTGATTTCATAAAAATGTTTGTGTAAAAATTCTTCAACCAATAAAAAAGAACACTATTTCTTATAAGGTTCGTTCCATCTGATTAAATCCATAAAATGATCACAAATCCACTTGAAAAAAAAGTTGACCGATTCCTAAAAAAAGAGAAAAAAGAATGGTTAGTTATTGAAGGAAAGAAATTAACTCACCTATAATAAAAAACTTACAAGTTCACTTAAGAAAGTCTAAGCAGATTCCTTAAAAAAGATGAAAGAAAAGAATGGTTAGTGTTGTTCTAAAGAAAGAATTAATACAAATACCTATAAAAAACTTACTATGAGTCCATTTCGAGAAAAAGTCCAAGCTGATTCCTAAAAAAAAGAAGAAAGATAGTACCATTTCAAAAGAAAGAATTAACAACCTACATATAAAAAACTTACCACAAGTCCATTTCGAGAGAAAGTCCAAGCCGATTTCTAAAAAAAAAAGAAGAAAGATAGTATCGTCTCAAGAAAGAATTAATAATCCACTCATAAAAAACTTACCACGAGTCCATTTCGAGAGAAAGTCTAAGCCAATTCCTAAAAAAAAGAAGAAAGATAGTACTGTTTCAAAAGAAAGAATTAACAACTTACCTATAAAAACTACCACGAGTCTATTTCAAGAGAAAGTCCAAGTCGATTCCTAAAAAAAGAAAAAAGATAGTACCGTTCCAAAAGAAAAAATTAACACACTCATAAAAAACTTACCACAAGTCTATTTTGAGAAAAAGTCCAAGCTGATTTCTAAAAAAAAGAAGAAAAAATGGTTACTCATAAAAAACTTACCATGGGTTCGTTTCGAGAAATGTTCAAGCCGGTTCCTAAAAAAAAAGAAAAAAAAACTGTTAGTACCGTTCTAAAAGAAAGAATTAACAACACATCCATAAAAAACTTACCACGAGTCTATTTTGAGAAAAAGTCTAAGCCGATTCCTAAAAAAGAAAAGAAAAAAAAAACGGTTAGTACCGTTCTAAAAGAAAGAATTAATAACCCACCTATTAAAACTTACCACGAGTCTGTTTCAAGAAAAATTCCAAGCCAATTCCTAAAAAAGAGAAGAAAAAAAACAGTTAGTACAGAGGATGATTACGGATACCCGAATGATAAGTATTTTTTTATTCATTTTGTTTACATGTTTATATATATTTCTAATTTAAGCATTTGTTTAGAATATAAATAGATGTCAATACAATAATAACAAATAATTTTCTTTCAAACAAAAATAGTTAAAACAAAAGAATTAAATGCTGAACAATATAGAGCAATTCTTTACAGATACAAACGAGATGATTTATATCAAAAAATTGCTGATATCGTTCAATGTGGTAAAACAACTGTTTATGATGCGATAAAATGTTTTAAAGAAACTGGTTCTACAATACCAAAAAAACGTTGTGGCTTGAAGCCACTTTTTAATTTAAATGCACAATCTTCACTTAAAAAGATTATTACACAAAATTCGAAGCATCATCGCCTTACCACTTAAAAAATTCAAGAATTATGGACTAAAAAAAAAGAAAGTTTCAACTGTTACAATTCATCAGACTCTTAAAAAAGTCAGCTTACGTTCATGTATTGCCCGCTCTAAACTATTAATTTCTGAAAATAATAAAGAAAAAAGATTAGCTTGGGCATTAGAACGAGAAGATTGGACAATTGCAAAATGGAAGAAAGTTGTATGGTTTGATAAATCAACATTTAGCTAATTTTCATAAGGTTGTAGCTTACGTATGTGACGTACACCAGAAGAAGAATTTGACTCTTCTTGTTTAACTGCTACAGTAAAGCACAGTCTCAGTTGAATGTTTTGGGAATACTTTTCATGATATAGGCTGAGACCACTTGTTCCTCTTTGCGAATATGTAACAGGACAAAGATATGCAAAAGTATTACAGAGGCATGCTATTCCTTTAATTTACAAATTAGTTCTTCACAAACAAGGAATTTTTTAAGAGGATAATGCCTCACCTCATTGAGTAAAGATTGTCGCTGATGTTTGTAACACTTCTAAGATTTCTGTGCTATCCTAGCCTACACAAAGCCCTGATTTAAATCCTATTGAAAATCTTTGGAATGAAGTTGATAAAAAACTTTGTAACTTGCCTAATCAACCTAAAAATGTGGAAGATTTAGAACGTAAGGTAAAATATGCTTAGCATTCAATTTCACTTGAGTATATTCAAAATTTGGTTGAAAGTATGCCCTGTCACATTCAAATATGTATAGCAGCTGAAGGTGGTTCAACAAAGTATTAGTTTTTATTTTTTTTTTAATAAAATATATAGGAAATATTCAGAACAAATAAATTTTTTGCTTATTTTAAAAAAAAGTTAATATAATAAGTAAATTTAAATAGTTTAATTAATTGTTCAGGTATCTGTAATCACCCTCTGTATTGTTCTAAAAGAAAGAATTAATAACCCACCCATAAAAAACTTATCACAAGTCCATTTTGAGAAAAAAGTCCAAGCCAATTTCTAAAAAAGAAGAAAAAACAGTTAGTATCATTTTAAAAGAAAGAATTAACACACTTATAAAAAACTTACCACAAGTCTATTTCGAAAAAAAGTCCAAGCCAATTCCTAAAAAAAAGAAGAAAAAATGGTTAGTACTATTACAAAAAAAAGAATTAACACACCCATAAAAAACTTACCGCAAGTTCATTTTGAGAAAAAGTCCAAGCTAATTCCTAAAAAAAAGAAGAAAAAATGGTTAGTACTGTTCTAAAAGAAAGAATTAACACACCCATAAAAAACTTATCACAAATCTATTTTGAAAGAAAGTCTAAGCCAATTCCTAAAAAAAAGAAGAAAAAAAAAATGGTCAGTATTATTCTAAAAGAAAAAACTAACACACTCACCTATGAAAAACTTACCCTAAGTCCGTATTAAGAAAAAGTCTAAGCCGATTCCTAAAAAAAAGAAAGAAAAGGACAGTTAGTATCATTCTATAAGAAATTAATCTTACCCATAAAAGCTTACCTCTGTTTAAAGAAAAAGTGAGAAAGTTAAAAAAATTCTAGCGACAATAATAATTTATAATATAAAAAAAATTGTTAAAAATAAAGATCTATTTTAATTTAATATCTATTTTAATACTACAGATTGTCAATCTGTTTACTTATTAAAAACTTCAAACCTAAATATTTCAAAATCACATTTATTAGAGTTTCCTCCCTTTCTATTGCAAAGGTCTCATATACTATAGAATATAAGTCATTTAATTTTTATATTGATATATTTTTAAAATATAAACTAAATTTTTATTTAAATTTCTAATAATTAATTATACTAGAAATTAAATTATTGTAATTCTTATCCCTTAAAGCATAGGTATAAATTGGCTATAAAATATTATAGAAAAATTATAATATTTTAATATCTAATAATTATAAAAAGATAAAATAAAGTTTATTAGATTTGTTATATTAAGATCTATCTAATGATGGTATTTTTAAATTTTTAAAATTAATAATTATTAATATAAATTAATTTTTCAATTTTTCAATTTTTTAAAATAACTTATTATTAAATAATTACAAGAAAATAAAATTTAGTTTGTTGGATTTATCTTATTAAGGCCTATTAAATGATTATATTTTTATATTTCTGAGATCAATAGATAGCAAGATATATAAGTTTAAAATTTTAACTTTTTTCATAATAATTGAATTTTTACTTAGAAAACATCATAAAATTTATTATAAAAATATTAATTTTTAAATAAATTATTTTAAAAATATTTAAAATTATTATAAATAATTTTAATTATTAAATAAAATTGCAGGCAAACTTGCCTGCAAAATGCTTAAAGGGATATAATTTAAAATCAACTAACTTTTAATTTAAAAAAAATTCAATAAATTAAGATGTAATAGATGATAAGATATTTTTATTGATTATTAGTATTTTAATTATATTTTATACTGTAATTTAAATTCAACTAATTTTTATTTAAAAGCTAAAGAAAGCAAGTTATTTTATATTAATTATCAATATTTAATTATACATTTTATTATAATTTAAATTTAAGAAAATTTTTTATTTAAAAAATATTTAAATTTAAATAATAAGTTATTTTATTGATTTTGGATATTTAATTATACTTTATACAGTAATTTAAATTTAAATAATAAGTTATTTTATTGATTTGGATATTTAATTATACTTTATACAGTAATTTAAATTTAAATAATAAGTTATTTTATTGATTTTGGATATTTAATTATACTTTATACAGTAATTTAAATTTAATTTAAATTTTTTATTTAATAAATATTTAAATTTAGATTATAAGTTATTTTTATTAATAGTACAGTCATACCTCGATATAACAAAGTTGCTGATCCAGCTGATCAGGACTTTATTATAAGAATCTTTATTAACGCTATAACAAATTATGCGATATGTATAACAAATAATTCATTATAGCGTTAATGAATTATTCGTTATAGTAAATGATTACTGATTTCATTACACAAATATAATTTTACTATTTCCAG